TGTCCTGATACCAGCCAGGATGCCGTTGGCCGCCTTGGCCACCTGGGCACACTGCTGGCTCATGTTCAGCCGGCTGTTGACCAACTCCCTCAGCACGCTTGGGTGGATCCCAGCCAGCCCCATAGACTTGTGTGTGCCTGAGTGGTGTAGCAGGTCGCTAACCATTTCCCCTTGGATTATGGGGGCTTCAGTCTGCTCCCTGTCCCTGTCATCCAGCTCAGGGGGCTGGGTACCCCCAAAAAAACTGGTCTTACTATTAAAGACTGAGGCAAAGAAGGCATCAGGTACCTCAGCCTTTTCCTCATCCTTTGTTGCTATGTTCCTCCCTGCATCCAGTAAAGGATGGGTATTCTCCTTCGCCCTCCTTTTGTTGCTAATGTGTTTAGAGAAACCTTTTTTCTTGTCTTTTACAGCAGTAGTCAGATTAAGTTCTAGCTGGGCATTGGCCTTTCTAATTTTCTCCCTGCCATATAACCACACTCAGTACAATAACTGTTAAGTGCATTTTGCTTTTCCTCTGCACTTCCAAACAAAACCTTCTGCCAATCACACTTGTATTCCTGGGCCTTTAGTAGACTGGTGAAGCCTGCACATGGAGAAATGAAGGGTAGTGGCTCAGCGGCACACTATAAACCCACAATGGCAAAGCAAACAGAATACAGAGGTCCAGATTTAATCCCTTCCTCATCTGAAATCCATTAGTAGTTACCTGGCATCACTTTCATTCTTATGCCAAGATCCAGCTCTTTCCAAAACACACAGCTACTCCAAAAAGGTGTTTCAAAGCACAGTGTACAATTCTACACATTTTCTTCAGCAAAAGGGAAAAACCCAGCATTACACATTATGCCATGGATATCTGTTATTATTCTTGGTGACCACATACTAGAAGCTGTAACAATCAACAATATGTGGCCACATAGAACAGAGTAACAGTTTTAGATGCATTTTCTGCACACTCTTGCTGGGGACTAGTGTTAGCTATGTACTTCACATTGCCTTTACCTGACGCTTAAATGGAGTCAAGCCAATTCTTTACACATTGTTTTCTGTTTTGGAAAAGCTTCGGAGAAAACAATTCCGAGACTCTGCACAACTTGCAACTGGGCAGAAAATCCACAGGGCGTCTGTCAGCCAGCCTTCTACTCCATTCATCAACTCGCAACGTGGCCCTGGTGTCCAGGAGAAGGGGAAGTCTTACCTGAACTACCTGGAACAGGATATAAAGGTAAGACATGAGTGCTGTAGTATATGGCTTCCAATAATGTTACATATTTTTATTTCTCTTGAGAATGGTGTGGGGTATTCTTTGTCATATTTTTTTCCCCAGTGTGGATTCTACTCACTTAATTTTGTGTTTAGCATTTACTCTGAGTTGGTTTTACTCTAACTGGATGTTGCCACTGGCAATCACTGGGGAAGCAATGCATGTGGCTGAAACTTGTTCTCTAAAAAACAGCCTGCGAATATTACATCACAGGCAAGGGGCTTCACATGCAGGAAACGCTGCTCATGCTTTCATTCCTGTGTCTCTGAAGTGCTGCGTACATGGCACTCTCTGAACATCACCTTTTGCAGACTGGTGTCCGCAGCTCACACTGTGGCAAAACTGATGGGACACTTCAGGCTAGGCAAGTTGCACAGCTGTAAAACTGCACGCTCACGCAGCTAGAGCTAAACTAAAACACACACACAAACTGTGTGGTGCGTCAGCTTCTCTTCCTTCATGGTAACAATCCTGTACATCTTCCAGGTGCTGAAAAAACTTGGCAAAGTTTTACAGACAGATTCGCTTACTAAGATCCAACAATGGTTCGCAAGTGCAAGTAAAAAAGGTAAGAAGCATAGGCATCTGCACCCTTTTCTGAAAAGCGCGCTCTCCTGTATGTCCATGTAAAACCCTGAAATTGTGATAGACCTGAACTGAGTGGGATTGCTGAGGTGGAAGGAATAGGATCCAGTGAAGTGTGCTTGGCTCAGCTGTGGCTGTGCTGAGCAGTAAGCTGACGGTACACAGAAACCGGTCACTCGGGCTTCAGCGCACTCAGGTTTGGTGCAGGGTGGAAAAATGTGCTCTCCTAGTGGAGCTCTGGGCTGCTGTGGACTGGGGGAAGGTGGAAAGCAAAACAAATATATCTCTCATGTCCTTAAGCCCTTTGAAAATCAGGTAAGGGAACTCCTGAATTCACCCCTAAACATCCAGATCAGCAAGTGAGAACTTCAATAACATTTCTGCTACTTTCAATTTCAGAGAAAGATTTCGTGATCAGTCAGATTTACACAAAAGTGCCTGATGAAGGTGTCCTGAACTATAAGGAAGGTACAGCAGAGAACATGGATATCCAGAGTCTGCTGAAGCTTCAGACTGGTCCAGAAGGGGACATGAATCGGTCCAGGTAAAACCTGCAGTGAGGTTGCTAGGATTAGCGATAGCTAAATCTCATAATCAGAAATCCTTGCTTTCTCCTCTTGTGAAAAATGCAACTTTGCAACTTTTTTTCTCAAGGCTGGGAAGCAGAGGTCCAGCACAAGCAGACAAACTGCTCCCAGCGAAGAACTGCAGCCGAGAAAGCGCTATGGAAACAAAGACACCGTCCTGCCCTGACACTCTGGCAGAACTCTCGCCTGCAACAAGCCATCTCCAGACTATAAGGCAGCTCCCTTCCCGTGAAGGCCCCCATCTTCAGAGTCACGGAAGCAGCTCCCAGTTACCTTCACTTACAAAAATACGTGATTTTAGCACTTAGATTACAAAGATGGCTGTTCAGACTCCCTATTAAAATAAATTTAGGTTTGTTATACCTAGTCCTCAAGTGATTCAACCAAACCATGCTGCATAGGTACATGAGAAGTGAGCTAAATGAAAAAAAGGACAGAGGCAACACTTTTTTGGCATCAGATTCCTTTTTTGCATGACTCAGCCAGGCCTGCACAAAGAGCTCTTGCGTGCAGACTTGACTAGTCACAGACCTACTCGAGTAAGCAGAGGGGTACACACACATAATCTGCAGAGTCAAGCCCTAAGTACTGGGAAAAAAAATACCCTGAATTTTCAAAATCGGGCCAGCAGAGTGACTGCAGATGTCTGCCTCACAGCAAGCTACAATTTGCTTCCATAGCTCTCATTATTAGCAGAGAAGCATCACAAATTTTAGCACCCAGTGGAGGGGGCAGATGGGACACAAATGGGATGGGACGACACCCAACAAACATTAAAACCATCATGCAAACCTCAAGCTGTTGAAATAGAAGCCAACAATGACAGAAATGTATCTGGACCTTTTTCAGGCCTTGTGAGCCAACTGTGAAAGCAGAACTGGGGTTTATCTGTTTTAAGCACACCTCTGGCAATTTATTCTTACAAAACCAAAGAAAGGTGATAAGCCAACCCTACTTCCATTTATCTTCCACAGCGAGACGATTCAGTGCAGACAGGCTCGTTCAAAGCATCTGGCTGTTTGAGGGGAAGGGAGAGAAATCCTGTCAGCATAGCATTAAGGAAAGAGGAGCTTAGCCCACAGCAGACCTCAGCGTACTCTTTCCAAGACTCCCTGCTTTCATTTCAAATCATGCCTACTGCAGTAACAACTACCACCTCCATTCCCATTTCCCGCTGCCAGAGAGGAGTATGCTGAGACTCAGAGGACAGCCTCAGCTCTGCTTTCGCTTGGTGCTCGCTTGCTGCGCACATGCCCAGCCGTGCTACAGCGCTGGATGAAGCAGGCTGGAGAGCGTGAACTAACCTGTAGCCCCAGATCAACGACCAGAGCATCTGTGAACGGCCAGCAGAAGGCCGGTCACCCAGGGCGGTCACTTGCCAACACAAACCACAGAGGCAGAAATGCATTTGTACAAAATTATTTAAATGGGTATCAATGTCCTGGATAGGTAATTTCTGTACAGCTGTGCAAGAGTATTAGCCTGCAGGCCGCAGTAAATGGCACCGGAGCTTCAAGTGGCAGAGGAGCTGGCAGCACTCTGAAACATCCCTCACGTCTTAGGCGTAAACCCTACAAAGCCAGCTGGAGACCAAACTGGAAACCAAGTGAACTGGAAACCAAACAGTGGGGTTGAGTGACCATACACTGACTGAGCTGCGGTAATGACTTACTGAGAGGGCCAGATACTTGACCAAATGCTTTTGGACCATACTCACATTGCCTTAATTCCACATAAATCTCTGTCCTGAGTGTTTCTTATCAGCTGTCTCAGCACCACGCTGCGTTAGCTGAGCCTGAAGAATTTAATTACATCTCAGAGGCTCGCTATTAAACAGAATCAAAATGAAAGCAACCATGTTAACACAGTCTTTTAGCAGCATGGATACATTTCCTCCATGAAGCTGACAGGTTACTGAGCAAACATGTCAGAGCCAGAAGTGGGATAGTTTACGAGGTTAGTTACAATCAGTAGCATCTTCTCAGCCATTTCCCTTCTTAAAGCATCTGTTACTGTATTTGCTAGATGTCCGAAAACAAAGCTCCCTCAAGGGCATTTCACCCATCCTAGTAAAGGAAGAACAAGGTTATGTTTAACATGTGAATCTGAAGATCAGAATTAAAGTCCTTTATGTTAGGAAGTGTCTCAGATCCATAGTAACCTGCCAATCCAGCCTGAACTTTGCCATTCCCTAATATAAATGTTGCCCAGTCAAGTTTTCATCCTAAACTTAAGCAGCGCACGTGTCCTCCGACGCCTTCCTTGATCTCATCATACCTGCCAATCCAGCCTGAACTTTGCCATTCCCTAATATAAATGTTGCCCAGTCAAGTTTTCATCCTAAACTTAAGCAGCGCACGTGTCCTCCGACGCCTTCCTTGATCTCATCACCTGCCTGCTTTATTGGTGACCTGGATTCTTGTCTTGGTTTCGGCTGCCGCCGGCAACAAAAGCGCCACGCGGCCGCCCCCCCCCCCCCCCGCGGGCGGAGGGGGATGAAAAGAAAAAAG